CTTATCGTTCGGAGCATAAATTGCAACCAGGAGTGTTTTTGTATTGTTATCCGCTATTTCAACCATTAATACTCTTCCATCTTCATCAGTATAAATCAGTTTTGCTGCAATAGTTTCTTTAATGTACAGGACCACTCCTCTTTTCTTACAGTTAGTCAAGGAGGTAAAAATTTTCCCCAGTTTTGGTCGTACCAATAATCGTTGATGTTGTTTTTTAATATGTACTTCTTGTAGGCAAATTATATCAAATGTTAACTTCTCTAATTTATGAAAGATTTTTCTTCTTTTAATAGCTGAGTTCAATCCATTTATATTCATAGAAATCAATTTTTTTTCCTCCATGGTTATGTTTTGTATTTAGGTCTAACAGTTCTCGTAGATCTTACTTCACGTTGTTCTTTGGTCTCCATTTGTCCACCTACCGCACCTTCTTCTTTTCCCATTCCCATTTGGTCTTCTTGGGGTTCAGTTGGGATAGTCTCTTTTTCTGTCTCTATTTCTCTTCTTCCAAAAAATTCATTGTAGAATGTTTCTGCTTTCTCAATTGAGTCGAATCTGTGTCTCTGTTCTTGCCATATGAACATTAATCCTTCTGGAATCAACCATCTATAATTCACCTCTTTTTCCAATAACTTTTTGGTCAAAAATCGATATTCTCTTCTCATCTCTCTCACTCTTCTGAGCACTTGTTTTAGAACCACAATCTCTTTGTCTTTGTATTTCAACACCTTATCTCTTGCCACTTGTAGTATTTGTGTTTTAATAGTCTTTTTAGTAAATCTGACATGGACCTCTCTTGGTAGCTTGTTTATCATCGCATATCTTGTGAAGACACAGTATATCTCATCTACTCCATCCATCATCTTTTCCTCTGTTATCTCCAAAGCTCCAGCCAAAATTTCTATCATTACAGCCGCCAAATCTTGTCCTTTTTCTTCCTCTATATTTTGAAATCTGAGGTAAAATTCTGACCTATCCATCTCCCACTTCAACATCCCAGTTATATCTTGTTCAACCATTGTTAATTTGCTAACAATATTTCCAATTGTCTCATCTCTCTGTCTGTCTTTCTCTTCAATTTTTTGGAGTCTCTCCTCATGTTTCGCCATCATTTGTTGAAAAATTTCAATTTTATCATCAGTCTTCGCAATACTCGTTTTGAGTACTTGTATTCCTTTAAAGGGAAAGCCTTAGAATCTCTCCTTTTTCTTTTTCTATTGGGATTTTCTTCTTTGCCATTCATATTTTTGGTTCATCTTTATGGTTTTTCTTTGTTTTTTTATTTTTCACCTTTGAGGCCTCCCAATTGGATTAAGGTGTGAAGAACTTGAAGAAATTTTCTCTCTCATTCTTTTTTTTAAATTATTATTATTGGGCTTTTTTTATTTCCATTTTTTACCTTGGATTACAACTGACTATTTTATAATTGGATTAAGGTCTTGAAGAACCTGAAGATTTTTTTTTCTTTTCTTTTGTTCTTTTTTTTTATTATCATTGGGCTTTTTCCTTCTTTTTATTTTTATTCTTTATTGTGGATTATTTCATAATTGGATTAGGGTCCAGAAGAACCTGAAGAATATTCTTCTTCTCTTTTTCTTTTTTCCTTTTTACCATTGGGCTTTTTACTATTGGGCTTTTCCATTTTGGATTATAATTGGCTAGCTTACCAGCTGGATTAAAGTTTAAAAAGAATTTGAAGGTCTTGAATCATTTAAAATAAGTAGGAAACTCATACCTTCTGGCATCTCTACCTCTATTTCTGCCTCCCCACCATCTGGAGGACAACGTTTAATCCAGACAATGTTAAAGCAAGATAAAGAACAAGAAAAAGTGACTTTACAGATGATTATGCAAGGAATCCAAGATCTCAAGATAAAATCAGATACTATTAAACAAAGAATAGAAAAAGTGGAAAATATTCAACAAATGATGGCGAAGTATGATGAGAGATTCCAAAAAATCAAAGAAGAAGGTAAACAAAGAGAGGAGAAGACTGGAAATATTGACAGCAGATTAACAGTGGTTGAACAAGATAAAAGTGGGATGCTGAAGTGGGAGATGGAGAGGTCAGAATTCTATCTCAGATTTCAAAATATAGAGGAAGAAAAAGGACAAAATTTGGCTGCGATAATGATAGAAATTTTGGCTGATGCTTTGGAAATAACAGAGGAAAAGATGATGGATGGAGTAGATGAGGTATACCGAGTTTTCACAAGATATGCGATGAGAAATAATTTACCAAGAGAAGTCCACATCAGATTTACCAAAAAATCCATCAAAACACAAATATTACAAGCGGTAAGAGAGAGGACGTTGAAATACAAAGGCAAAGAGATAGTGGTTTTAAAACAAATACCCAGAAGAGTGAGAGAGATGAGAAGAGAATATCGATTCTTGACCAAAATGCTATTGAAAAAGGAGGTGAATTATAGATGGCTGATTCCAGAAGGACTAATGTTTACGTGGCAAGAACAGAGACATAGAATTGATTCAATTGAGAAAGCAGAACTTTTCTATGCAGAATTTTTCAGAAGGAGAGAGGACGAGGCAGAGAAAGAGGTCTCATTAATTGAATTCCAAGAGGAACAAATGGGGACTGAAAAAGAAGAAGGCGCAGTAGGTGGACAGGTGGATATCAAAGGTCAAGTATTTGGGGATATACCTGACATCAAGATGTAGTACCTTAAAAGAGAATAATTATATTAAACTTAAACAACAGATAGCCTTAGATTTGAAGAAATGGGAAAACTTACAATTGTCATTAATAGGGAGAATTTCAACAAACAAGACCAATTAGGCTCAGAAAAGACTATTTTGAAGACTTAAATAAAATTGTGCTGAAGTATATATGGCAAGGTAAGAAAGCGAGAATAAAGCTAAAGCTTTTGCAAGATGCTAGAATTAGAGGAGGTTTTGGCCTGCCTAATTGGGAGTTGTATTACCAAGCTGCAAATTTGATGTGGGTCAAGGAATGGATAACATTAAGAAAGATTAGATTGTTGACATTAGAAGGTCATGATTTGCTGTTGGGTTGGCACGCTTTCTTATGGTATAAGGGAACTAAAACACAGGGTTACTTTAGAAGACATTATATACGGGAGTCTTTGTGGTTAAACTGGGCGAAGATAAAAAGCCAATGTTATTTGAAAATTCCAGTTTGGTTATCGACTATTGAAACATTTTCCTATCCTATAATTTATAAGAAGGAACAGTTAGATATGGGGAACTATTGGATGAAAAGGGTGAACTTAAATCGATACAAAATCTAGGAACAAGGTATAAAGATGAATTGGTTTTCCTATGCGCAAATACACTCAAGGTATGATGAAGATTCTAAAACAGAGGGATTTTATCATAAATTGACTGATCTAGATAAGATTTTGACAGGTACTGATGAAAAGGTGATTAAAAAATTATGTGGTTATTTACTGGGAATTAAGCTAGAGGAAGAACAAGTTAAAGAAACTCTGATTGTTTGGTGGAAGAATTTTGGATATGGGATTGATTTAGAGAAATGGCAAAAACTATGGTCGCAAAATTATAAAATGACAATGTCAACAGCTTATAAAGAAAATCTGTATAAGATGTTTTACAGGTGGCACTTTCCCCTGACAAGGATAGCAAGAATGTTCAAGAATAAATCTGAAAAATGCTGGAAATGTCATCAGATACCTGGCTCGTATTACCTTATGTGGTGGACTTGTGAGGATGCTAGAAAACATTGGACTAAAATCCACATGTGGTTGGAAAAAATGAGAAAGAAACACATAGATTTGAAACCAGAGGTTTTTAATTGGGAATCTTACCAGATACATATAGTAAAGACTTGAAATATCTGATTGTAAATGTATTAACAGCGGCTAGGATTGTATTGGCTAAAAATTGGAAAAATGAGAAAGTACCATTGCAGGAAGAAATTATCAAGAAAATATTGGAATGTGCTAATATGAGTGGATTGACATTTGAAATTAGAGAGCAAGAGGATAAACAATTCTATAAAATTTGGGACCTTTTCTATCAATGGTTGGATTATAAAATATAATAATAGAATATTTAGAATGTTAGATAACAAGGAATATCTTTGCTTTTTCTTTTTCTTTGTTACTTGACATCATATCTATAAAGTGTTTTTAGGATAGATTTGGTATGATTATATGATTTGTTATAGAATAAACTACCTAAATTATAGTTATCTCATAAAGTATGAATGAATAAAATTATAGTCAAATGATTTTCTAAGAGTGATACTAGGATATATAAGTTTGGATTGATAATATGAGTTATTATGTAATGTAGCTGTAATTGAGACTACGAAATGAATGCACAAAACTGATAAACCAACTGACACACTGTTTGTATATATGTATGGAAGAGAGCTGATGTTTTTATGTTTTGTTTGTTTTGTTTGTTTTTAAAAAATCAATAAAATTATTTTCAAAAAAAAAAAGTATTGGAACACTGCTATCATGTCTCTCCTAGTCCTTCACTAGACTAGCCATGTCCAGTTCCTGTAACCGTTCTTCATATGTTTGAGCCTCCAGTCCCCTTATCATCCTGGTTGCTCTTCTCTGCACTCTTTCTAGAGCCTCAACATTACATTTACATGTCAATAGTTTGGAGCATAAACACAGGTGTGTAACACAGTTGAAAGGGACTTTGGAGGTCTTCTAGTCCAACCCCCTGCTCTGGCAGGAAAACTCCGAGGATGCCAAACTCTGAGTAGAGAGGTCCTTGGAAAGGTGTCAGAATAACAGAATAACACTTAAAAGGGACTTTGGGGGGGAACCCCATATCATTTCAGAGAAATGGCTGTCATCTTTTCTTAAAAACTTCCAGTGTTGGAACACCCAGAACTTCTGGAGACAAGCAGTTCCACTGGTTAATCGTTCTCACTGTCAGGAAGTTTCTCCTTAGTTTTAGGTTGCTTCTCTCTTTGTTCAGTTTCCATCCATTGCTTCTTGTTTGCCTTTCTCTCCCTTCCTCTTTCTCTTTTCTTCCACTTTTTCTTTCTGTCCCACTCTTTCTGGCAGCCCCTTAAAAGCCTGTTGCTTAGCACATCCTTGGGCAAAGCATGTGAGCCATTTCCTCCTTTCAGTGGTCCATGAAAGTACATCTATAGTACATAGATAATAAAGTCAAAAAAAGGTGAACAACATTTTTATAGAACTATAGATATGTTGAGGCTGGGTGTGACAAGGAATGGCTGGGAGGGGAGGGGCCAGACAAGGCACCCCTTGACGTGAGTGACATTGAGTTGGCCACACCCACCCAGTCACATTACCAAGCCACACCAGCCAGTCATGTGACCATCAAGCCATGCCCATCCCAGTCACATGACACCAAGCCACACCCACCCAGTCACATGATCACCAAGATATGACCACCCTAGTCACATGGCCCTAAGCTACACCCACCAAATAAGCATGTCCACAGAACCAGTAGTAAAATATTTTGAATCCCAGCACTGGTCCCAACCCTTTAGGTCCAGGAGGGGTGAGCTCTACAACCTCCATGTCTTCAGCTCTGTCTCCTGGTCCTTGGAGCTGGTGTCATTGCCTTCTTCCCCAGACTTGTTATGGCATTGAAGTTGGGCTTGCTGGATCGGCATGCCACAGCTTGGTGCCTTCTTCCCACATCTGGAGTACGTCATGAACCTTGGTCTAGGTTTGGCATTGCCTTTTGTGGTCCTGGGGTATTTTTATGTGTGGGAGGGAAGGACTTGCCCCTTCTGTTGGGCCCTGGCATCAGTCCTGGGCAAGGTCTATTTCCACTTCATCTGCCTACTCATACCAGTGTTGTAGGATGTGTGGGGTCCGACGCAAGATGCAGGTGTGGTAGACATTGTCATTGAAGCCATCTTTGAAGCAGTTGATGCGGATATCTTCAGGCCATGTGACTAAACAGCATGAAAACTCTTGGAACTCCTGGGTGTATGTGGCCACTGACTATTCCCCTTGGGTGATGGTCTTCATCTGGGTCCAAGCCTTGTGCTCTGCCAGCGGTCTTTGAAATGTTGGTGAAGGGCTACCATAAAGTGCTCATAGTTCTGCAGTCAGGAGGCATTGTTATTGTGGAGAGACCATCCACTCAGCCGCTATACCAAAGCAATGGTTACCCATCTTATTCAGGCTTCTCTAGTCTCCAGTTCAGCTCCATACTCCTGCATGTAGTTCCACATGCACCAGGAAGAACACCAGTTGCTTGGAGTCTCCCCCATACTTTATCCCCAAGGCTGAGACTTTTGGGGCCCAGTGCCTGTGAGGAATGGTCCCCACAGGCAGAATGGCTTGTGCAGCAGCGACTGCCCAGGGTGGCATCACTTTAGGTAGAGTTGGTGCAAACCCCACCATAGTGCTCCATCCATGGCTTGGCCTGGGGTAACCCAGGAGTCTTGAGTAGTAATCTGTGCAAGAGTTTCTTAGGCTCTTTGACTCCCCCTAACTTGTTACATCAGGAGCAGAGCCTGGTTCAGCATGGCTTCCTCTGGGCTTCCCTCCAGCAAGGATCTTCCTTCTGCCCAGTCCCCCCACCCATCTGAGCCTGATAGGCTTCTTGTTGAAGTCCAGCTCCTCTCACCATTCTGTCTTGTCTCAAGCACAGTATAGTCTAGTGGTTGTAGCTCCAGTTTCCTTCAGCTCATTTCCGTGGACATTGGATGCTAGGTCCCCTTAGCAGACTTCTGTCTCATGGTTGACCATTAAGCAGATCTTGCCTAATGTCACGGTTATCTCTGTTCATTTCCTAGGAAAGAAAAACCATTGTCTCCATAGATTCAAAGAAAAGATACTGTGATGACCCGGGCTTGACACGATTGCAACATAGCTGGAGTGAAGGCTTAATTCTCTTTTATTGCTCCAACTCCCCACCACCACAAAGTTCCCACAGTCCAGAGAAGCAGCCAGTTCTGAGAGAAAACACAGTTCAGGAAATTTGGCTCCAAGGAGTCCTCGTCGCATGGAGGGGTTGCTGGGGTAAAGCACAACCTCAAGCTGAGTATTTGCCCATGGCCAGGCTAGACAAAGCAAGTCAAGTCAAACTCAGGCAAAGCAAAGCTAAGCACAGTAAGACAAGGTGGCAAGATATGGACAACTGCAAACATGGTTGCAAAAAGGTTATGCTTCTTCCTGACAAGCACCCCTCCCTATAGCATTTTTAAAAATCTTATTCCCCAAGTAAGCCTTGTGATGAGGGGTAGGGTCCCCTCACCCCAAGTCATGCACTGATCCTGCCTCCTCTCCCCACTCTTCTCCCTATGCTTTTCCTCTCCTCTTCCCTCACTCAGTTGTCCTGCACTCTCTCTCCATTGCTGGTCACCCCTCCAAGGGCCAAGGGACCAAGGACTGCCTCCAGGACCAGAGAGGCCGCACCTCCATCGGCCCCAGCTCTGTCTCATCCTCCTCCTAGGACTCTGACTCTTACAGGGCCATGACACTAGCCCCCCACACAGGGCCCTCTCCCCCAGGACCAAGTGGATGAGGGCATTACAGAAACCAGACATGGAAGTCCTGGACTAGGTGATGGGCATGGACACTGGGGGCATCCACCCATGTGAAATCCTCAGGACTATAACCCTTCCATGACACAAGGTACTGAAATTGGCCCCTCAATTGGTGAGTCTCTGATGCAACCCACCTCATACTCCACACTCCATAAGGGGCTATTGGTCTGGGTAGCAGAGGATTCAGACGATGTAGACTGTCAGCCTCCATAATTACCAACAATGACCAATGAAACAGCATGTGGATCCACATGGTATGAGTCAGCTGAAAGGCCACTGGGTTGATTACTATTTCAACCAGGAATGTTCCCACCTATTGGTGGTCAAGTTTCTTCGAAGGGCAAGATATCCACAGATGCTGCGTGGAGACCCAAATGCAACTGCCTGTGGCTAGCAGTGGACTCTTTGATGATGCCAGTCTGCAAATTTCTTGTAGTCTTACTTGGCTTTTTCTAACTGGGTTCTTATGACCTGGTATACGCTGTGCAGCTCCTGGAGGAACATGTCTACTGCCGGTACCAGGGGGGCCAATGGGGCCAACAGAAAGACTCATGGGTGGAACCCATAGTTTGCAAAGAACAGGGACAGTCAGGTGATTAATGCTAAGAATTATTGTAAGCAAATTCCACCAATGCCAAAACTTCTGCCCAATTGTCTTCCTGTTAATTGTTAAAGTACTGGAGGTACTGCTACAAGATGGCATTCATTCTTTCCATGCCACCATTGGTTTCTGGGTGATGGGTGTATTACAGACATGCCCAGACTTGTGGTTCTGCTAGTCGTATCTGCCAGAAGCATGCAGTGAATTGCATGCCTTGATCAGACACCCCCTCTGGTTAGATGCAGTAGCCCAAGAAGTCAATGGTGGTCTGCGCAAACTGGCACTTCTCTTGTTTGCTGCAGAGGTGGTTCACTCATAGGCACTGCAAGACCTGCTGGACATGGTCCCAGTGTTCTGAGGAGAGCACAAATAGATGAGGATGTCACCCAGGTAGATGACCAAGAACTGGTCCAGCAGATATCAGAAGACATAATGTATGAAATGTGCATGTTGGTCAATCTGAAAGGCATGACTCTGAATTTGAAGTGACCATAGTGCATCTGGAAGGCCATCTTCCACTCATTTCCCACTCAAACTTGGACAAGATTATAGACTCTCTTAAAATCCTAAAGATGGAAGTGATATTATAGACCCTGGAAACTATAGACCGATATCTCTACTTAATGTTGATTATAAAATTTTCATGTCAATTATTATCATGTCAATTATTATTATATAAATTTATCTCTTCAGACATTATAGAACATTATGAGGACCACAGTGGTGATCAAGTTGCGTTAATGTTTTTAGATGCCAAAAAGGCCTTTAATAATGTTAAATTGCAATTCATCTTGCAGCAAATTAGAGATATGGATCTAGGGCAAAAATTCTTAAATGTAATTTCGGCAGTATATGCAAAACAAGAAGCCAGAATTCTGGTGAATGGGGGGATAACAGGCAAATTCCAAATTCAAAAAGGAATTAGGCAGGGATGCCCATTATCACCACTTCTCTTTATTATGTCATATTATTCTTAGCAAGAATAATTAGAAATGAAACAGAAATTAAAGATTTAAAAATAAAAAAATGAAGAATTTAAATTGCAAGCCTTCGTGGATGATTTACTTTTTATATTAGAGGAACCACAAAATTCGGGACCAATATTTTTCGGTAACTTAGAAGAATTTGGAGCAGTCATGGGGCCAAAGATTAACAAGGATAAAACAAAAATTACTGCTAAAAATATGACAAGTAAACAGAAAGAATTATTAGCAACGAGAATGGGCATCCAAATTGTAGAAAAGGTTAAATATTTGGGAATCACAATTTCGGCAAGATATACAACACTCAAAAGAGATAATTACGACCCACTAATAAAATGAATAACCAAAGATTTGGAAAAATGAGACAAATTAAGGCTATCCTTCATGGGAAGGATAGCAGCAATAAAGATGAATATGCTGCCCAAATTACTATTTCTTTTTCAAAATGCCCCTATAAAACTAGAAAAAAAGTTTTTAATAATTTGAATAGAATAACCACAAATTGTATTTGGCAGAAGAAAAAAACAAGAATTAAGCTAAAGTTGCTGCAAGATGCTACTGAAAGAGGAGGATTTGGCCTACCCAACTGGGAGCCGCAATACTAACATGGTTGAAAGATTGGATTTACTATAGAAATAAAAGAATTTTGATATTAGAAGGTTACCACTTATGGTCAGGTTGGCATGCCTTCCTCTGGCAGGAGAAATCAAAGGGTTATCATTATGTGCAAAGGCATAAAGTGAGACAGACTTTTTTAAATATATGGTATAAGATAAAAAGTCAAATGTATATAGAAACACCTATCTGGCTATCAAATTTGGAAGCATTGACACCTATCTGGCTATCAAATTTGGAAGAATTTTCCCTCTTGCACCAAGGGAAAATTATCACCTATGAAGATATATTAAATGAAAAAGGAGAACTACAAACTAGACAAGAGTTGAAGAACCAGGGAATCGAGGTAGAATGGTGGGCCTATTTGAAACTACAATCAAAATATTTAAAAGATAAGAGAGAAAGGGGAATTAGTAGAAGTAGGACAAAATTAGATGAAATTTTATTAGGACCGGAGCAGAAAATGATTTTTAAAAAAATCAAGTTTTATTGGAATTTAAATTGGAAGAAGAAAAAGTAAAGGAAATGATGGTGGTATGGATGAAAAATTTTGGTTATAGCATTAATTTAGACGATTGGCAAACACTTTGGAAGAGAAACAAAAAAATGACCCTAGTGATACCTTTTAAAGAAAAATTGTATAAATTATTTTTTAGATGGCACATACCCCCATCAAGATTGGCAAAAATGAACTCCAAACTTTCCCCCATATGTTGGAAATGTAATAAAGAAATAGGAACTTATTATCATTTATGGTGGAGTTGCAAAGAGGCCCAAAAATATTGGCAAAATTTACATAATTGGATAGAAGAAATGTGTGGAATTAAAATGCAACATAGGCCTGAACTCTTTCTGCTAGGAATTAATGTTACAAAATATGGCAAAGAAAACATGTATTTAATGATCCATGTAATTACTGCAGCAAGGACGGCATATGTTCAGAATTGGAAAAGTAAAGCTACCTCAAATGAATTGGAAATATTGAGGAAAATTACAATGTGCGCAGAAATTGATAAACTAACAAAAGAACTAAAAAATAAGGAGGATTCAGATTATTATAAAACATGGGATAAATTTTACGGTTGGTTAGAGATGAAGCTGCAGTAGAAGCTTTTGATTGCCCAGGCAGCCACCAGGTGGGATCTCTGGAGCGACTGCTTGGTCTGCTTTTCCTCCACCTTGAGGACATCTTCCGGATCGGAAGGGGCTGACAAGGTGGAGACCAAAGCTGCCATGTATCCACCAAGGGTACCTGAAGGGTCTTGGTGAGCTCGGGACCGACTTTGAAGAACATGTGGTCTGAGGCCAGGGGATTAGGCCCTGAGGCAGGTTGACTCCAGTTGTTTCTGAACGACTTTCAGAAAAAGCCTGGGAGATGGGACCACCCCCTTCCTCACCTCTGGTTCCTCAAAAGGACATCCGACTCCACAGGAGGCTGGGTGGCTGCTGCTTCATCATCTGTATCCCTCAGGTTGGCAGTATTCCTCGCCTTGAACAACAAATGACTTAATAAGGCATGCTTAAAACAACTGGTGAATACTGGAATCTCATGGGAAGGACCATCTTCTGACATATCAGATTCCGGCTTATCAGGGATGGTACAGCAAAGACTGTAGGAGCATAGGCCACAGCTGAAACAGAAACTGGTTCCTGGGCCAAGGAACCTCTTTCTGACAAAAGAGCCTCTCAAACCCAGGAAACTTCTTTCTGAAACATCAGAAGCTGCTGAAGAATGTTGGGCAAATCTCTGCATACCTTCAGAGATATCTTTCCTGATGGCCTTGTTGATCAAAAGCTGCATGTTGACCTGGACATCTGGATCAAAAGGCTCAGCTGGTCTAAGGCCAGCTGCAGTAGGAGTAAAGGAGGATTGCACCACTGGTCTACTGCACACACGCTTCTGCCAAGGTACATCACTATGATGACTCCCCTCCTCAGAGAGATGAGAGAGGCCTCCCTTCTAGCTGCATCAGGGGACCACATCTGGACAATGACTCTGGTGGAAGGTCAATGTTCTTGCTCCAAGAGGTCCGCCTCACTAATGTGTGATGCAGGAGAAGATGCAGAAGCCTGATATACCTTGGCTATCTGTTTCTCTAAAGCCTGATGGTGCCTGGAAGCATCCCTCTCCTTTGCTTTGGAGGCCTTGAAGTAGCAGGAGCTGCTTTAGCTCTGGTTGCCCTGGAAGCTCTGGTGTCTGGGAACTTCAGCTATCTTGAAAGCAAAAAGGCCTAGTCTGGACTGGAAGTCCTGTGCAAGGAGGAGAACACATGAAGGGATTTGCAGGGGAAATGTTCTTATCCAATCCCCCATCTCCAACAACCACTCTTCTTCTGCCCTATGAAACTTCAGTAGGATGTTTTAACACTTCCTACTGGAACTCATATCTTCTGGGGCCTAAAAGGGCAATTAAATATAGGCCTACTTCGGGATAGGAAAACCAATCCCCCACCAGGAAGAATAATAAAAAATGCCTACCCTTCAGTAGTGTCTTCAGGCCAGCAACAGCAAGAGACAGATGGCCTAGTGGTGGCAAAGGTGTAGAGTGGTTGGAGGATATTTGCTTTGTTTTGAGTTCACCCTTTTCATTTAAAATTTCCTCATATCTAATAATGTGTTCCCTTTAAAATATCTGTAGATATGCAAATGCCTCTATTGTTGACAACCAGACTGGTGTTTTCATATAATGGTATTCCCTTATTTTCTCCCATACTGTCAATAAACTGTCCCTGGCATAATGTCTCCCAAAGTATCCATGTGCCCTACTTTCTTTATACCATAGAAATGCGTGCCACTCCAATTGTAAATCGTGCCCTTCCAATGTTAACAATCTGACATTTTTTAATACAATCCATTCTTTCATCGACATCAATATTGCTGCCTCATAATATAATTCCCAATTGGGTAGTCCAAAACCCTTCTCACAATTTTCCCTAAATTCTTGTCTTTTTCCCTTGCCAGATAAATTTCAACATTATTTTATTTAAGTCCTCAAAATACTTTTTCCTCAGTCTTATTGGAATTGTCAGGAATAAGTACAGTATTTTTGGCAATATGTTCATTTTGATCGTCACTATTCTAATCTGTTAAGGATAGTTGTAGATTTTTTCCACTGTTCCAAATCTATCGCAATCTGTTGTTGCAATTTATCATGATTGTCCTTTTTAAGAGATCCACTTCTATCCACTTCATTTGTATCCCTAAATATTTCACTTTTTAAAATTTGAATGTTTAATTTGTCCATTAATCTTTTGCTTTGATTTTCTGTCATATTTTTCACCAAGATTTTTGTTTTTTTCTTTGTTTATTTTCAGTCCTGCAACCTCACCAAATTTTTTCAATCAGCTTAGGACCTGTTTCCAATGGTTCTTCCAATATAAAAACTAAATCATCTGCAAAGGCTTGTAATGTATATTCTTCCTTTTTTATTTTCATTCCCTTTATTTCTTTATTTTTCCTAATATTTCTATTCAATACTTCCAGAGTCAATGCAAACAACAGTGGAGATAATGGGCAACCTTGTCTGGTTTCTTTTTGAATATTAATATTTTCTGTCAATTCTCCATTTATCATTAGTCTTGCTATTTGCTTGTTATATATCACCTTTATCAAGGCAATGAGCCTTGATAAATCCGTGTCCAAAACCCATCTCCTCCATTTGCGTCAACATGAATTGTCAATTCACATTGTCAAAACTTTCTGTGCATCTAAAAAACCAATACCATTTGTTTCTCTGAATGAGTTTTGTAGTATTCCAGTATATTCAACATTATCCTCACATTATTTTTATTTGTCTGTTAAATATCTTTTAATCCTTTGTGCCATTATTGAGGCAAATATTTTATAGTCAGCGTTTAGCAGGGATATTGGTCTGTATTTTTTGTATTTGTTGAGGGTCAGTATCTTCTTTTCGTATAACATATGACTCTGTCCATGAGTCAGGTATTTTATTTTTTGTCAAGATCTCATTCAGTGCTTCAAGCATTATAATATAGATTGATTTTTGTATTGTCTTATAAAATTCAGCTGGTAGCCCATCCAGGCCAGGAACTTTTCTGGTGTTTTGTCTATTTATTACTTCTGTCAATTCCATCATTATTATTTTCTCTTCTAACATAGTCTTTACTTCATCAGGTATTTTCAGTAATTCTGCCTTTCACAAATATTGCTGAAATTTCCTTTCTGGTATTGCCTCTTGTTCATATAATTTCTCATGGTATCTCTGCACTATTTTTTTCTTCTCATTTCCATAACATAGCATGTCATTTTCATCTGTTAGTTGTGGTATTCTTTTTAGTTCTTTTTCTCTTTTCAATTTATATGCTAGCCATCTACCTGGCTTGTTTGCATTTTCAAAAAAAATCTGTTTAGCTCCCCTAATCTTTTGCGCCAGTTCTTCTTTTTCCATTACTCCTATTTTGTGTTTAATTATATCTATTTGGCTTTTAATGTTTTTATGTTGTGGGTATCATTGTAGACCCTTCTCCAATTTCTTAGAGTCTTCTTCTAAAATCTGTTGCATTTGCCTCTTTTTGGTATTCCTTCCTCTCATATAAGTTATAATTACACCTCTGATATATGCCTTCATAGTGTTCCATGCATTTTGTAATAAGGTTGCCTCTGGTTTATTTTCTTTAAAGAAGAAACCAATTATTTCTCTATGTTATTAATAAGTTCTTTTTCTTTCAGGATTGAATTATTCAGAGTCCATCTTGATCTTTTCCTCTGTCCCTTCCATTTAACCCCTATCGGGTTGTGGTCAGCCCAAGTGCTAATATCAATATTTACATTCTGGGTGAACTCGAATTACGAATAACAGGGTGAACTTGAACTATGAATACATGAAGGTAAATATGATATAGTTGGAATAACAGAAACTTGGTGGGATGAAATCCATGACTGGAACATACTGGTAGAAGGATACAAACTATTCAAAAATCCCAGACCCGAGAAAAGAGGAGGTAGAGTTGCACTATATGTAAAGGACCACTATATTGCTACAGAAATGCATGAAACCAAAGATGAAAACCTCCTAGAATGCAAATGGGTCAATATAAAATAAAAAAAGAATGACATGGCCATAGATGTAGATTATGGGCCACCCAATCAAGCAGAAAAAATAGATGACCTTTTTGCCAGCCAACTAACAAACATATGCAGGAAACACACAACAATAGTAATGGGAGACTTCAATTATCCTGATATCAATTGGAAAACTAATTCTGCACCAAGTGAGAAATCAAATAAGTTCCTAACCAACCTAGCCGACAACTTTGTTATCCAAAAGGTAGAGGGTGAAACTAGAGGGACAGCCATACTGGACTTAATTCTTACAAACAGAGAAGTGATAGAGGGAGTTGAAACTGCAGGAACCTTGGGTGAGAGTGACCATGTCATACTAGAATTCAACATAACACAAACACAAACAACAGAACATAATGACACCAGAGTTTTGGATTTTAAAAGAGCTGATTTCAATAAACTCAGAAAGAACTTGGGAAAGATTCCATGGATGAAAATCCTAAAGGGGAAAAAAAAACTCAAGAATCTTGGGAAACTCTAAAATGTATGATCATAGAAGCCCAGACCAGCACATTTCTGAGAAAGAAAAACAAGAAATCCAAGAAGAAACCAGCATGGCTGCACAAAGATATCTCTGGCAAATTGAAAGAAAAAAAGGACAAGTACAAGAAATGGAAACAAGGACATACAACTAAGGCAGAATAACAGCAGATAGCCAGAATATGCAAAGACAAAGTCAGGATAGCAAAGGCTCAGAACGAACAAAGACTGCAACAAAAGTCAAAGATAATTTAAAAAGTTTCTCCCAACATATAAATAACAAAAAATATATATCAAGGAAACAGTAGGTCCACTAAAGAGAGAAGATGGCAAGGAAGTAACAGGCAACAGAGAAAGCAGAATTGCTTAACTCATTCTTTTCATCGATCTTCACGCAAAAAGAAACTATAGTTCAACCCATCAAAAACATAACTAAAAGACAGACCAGAAATAAAAGTTAAAATAAGCAAAAAAAAAAATAGTAAGAGAACACCTGTCTGATCTTGATGAAAACAAATCACCAGGACCTGATGGATTACATCCCAGAGTTTTAAAGGAGCTGGCAGAGGTCATCTCAGAACCACTGTACTATATATTTCAAAAATCCTGGAGCACCAGGGAACTACCAGAGGACTGGAAAAGAGCTGATGTGGTTCCCATCTTCAAAAGAGGAAAAAAAACAGACCCAGGAAACTATAGACCAATCAGCCTAACATCAATACCTGGGAAGATACTGGAAAAGATAATAAAAAAACAGATTTGCCAACATCTAGAAACAAGTAAAGTAATAACTAGCAGTCAGCACGGGTTTATTAAGAACAGATCATGCTAAACCAATCTTATTTCATTCTTCAACACAGTGTCTAAATTAGTAAACCAGCAAAATACTGTGGACATAATATATTTAGATTTCAGCAAGGCATTTGACAAAGTAGACCACAACCTACTTCTTAGTAAGCTAGAAAAATGTGGAATAGATAGCACCACCACTAGATGGACTTGCAACTGGCTGGCAAACCGTACTCAACGAGTAGTCCTTAATGGGTCTAAGTCCACATGGAGGGAAGTAAGCAGTGGGGTGCCACAAGGTTCCGTCTTAGGCCCAGTACTCTTCAATATCGTCATTAACAACTTAGATGAGGGAATAGAAGGGGAACTTCCCAAATTTGCAAATGATACTAAGCTGGCAGGAATAGCTAACACCCAAGAAGATAGGCTCAAGATCCAGATGGATCTTGACAGACTAGAATACTGGGCCATATCTAACAAAATGAAATTCAATGCAGAGAAAAGTAAAGTCCTACACCTAGGCAAGAAAAACCAAAAGTACAAATATAGACTGGGTGAAACCAGGCTCAATAGCAGTAACTGTGAGAGGGATGTTGGAGTCTTAGTGGACAACCAGCTAAATATGAGACAGCAGCAGCAGCCAAAAAAGCTAATGCAATCCTAAGTTGTATTAATAGAGGGATACAATCAAGATCAAGGGAGGTACTAATACCAGTCTATAAAGCTTTAGTAAGACCACACCTAGAGTAGTACATCCAGTTTTGTTCACCACATTATAAAAAAGATGTTGAGACTCTAGAAAAAGTACAGAGAAGAGCAACCAGGATGATTAGGGGGCTGGAGGCTAAAACATACAATGAACGGTTGCAGGAACTGGGCTTGACTAGTCTAGTAAAGAGAACAACCATGGGAGACATGATAGCGGTCTTCCAATATTTGAGGGAGGAAGGGGTCAAGCTATTTTTTAAAGTGCCTATCGGCCAGACAAGGAATAATAGATGGAAACTGAACAAGGAAAGATTTAATCTGGAAATAAGGAGAAACTTTCTGACAATGAGAACAATCAACCAATGGAACAGCTTGCCCTTGGAAGTTGTGGGAGCACCATTACTTGAGACTTTCAAGAGAGATTGGACTGCCATTTGTCAGAAATGGTGTGGGGTTTCCCACTTGGGCAGGGGGTTGGACTAGATGACGTACAAGGTCCCTTCTAACTCTGATTATCTGTTACCTGTTATGTTAGAAATTAAGTCTGTTGACATCCAAATCATATCTATTCTTGACCATGATAAGTGTCTGTTTGAAAAAATGTACATTGTCTATTTTTACTATTTAATTCTCTCCATATATCTTTGATGCTCAATTTCTCTACCATCTTAAAAATGGTTGTGGCAATGTTCTTCTATTTTTTTTTTTTATTTTCTGTGTTTTATAGTCCAATTCTGCTTCTCCAATCGCATTAAAATCTCCAAGAAGGCATATTTTATCATATTCCAATTCAATTATTTTATTGTGTAATTTCTTGTAAAATTCATCTTGCTTTGTTGTTTTAATTTGCATATATTGCAATTAAAATTGTCTGTTATTTCAACCATCAATATTCTTCCTTCTTCATCTCTATAAATTGGCTGGGCTTTAATTATATTTTTAATATATAAAACAACTCCTCTTTTATTTTGTTGCACCAATGATGTATATAAATTACCAATTCTGGAGCAGTTCAACAGATGTGCATACTGCTTTTTAATATGCACTTCTTTAATTTTCCTAGTTTATGGAATATCTTTTTCCTTTTAATAGCCGAATTTAGTCCATTTATATTTATAGAAATTAGTTTATTTTCATCTTCCATTATTTTTACTTTATATGTAGGGT